AGCGCCGCGCACATTCCTTGAAACAAATTGCAAGAGCTTCACGGATTGGGGCAGGTTGTTTTCAACATGCGGTTCTCGCTACAACGCCGCGCGCATTCGTTCTAAAATGGTGGAAGAGCTTCACGGATTGAGGGGGTACCTTTTTCAACATGTGGTGTTCGCCTTCGCGCCGCCCACACTCCTTTACATCATGTGCAAGAATTTCACGGTTTTTCATCATCCACGTACCAGCAATGGTGTTTTGGAAGGATTCGGGATCACCCTTGTGCAACAATTACAATGTTTTTTGTGCTGAAGTCCTAGGGGTGGCTTTCTGACGTGATTCAGGATCGCCAAAACACAGCAGCCAGGTTGACCCGTGGCGTTGGAATCACGAGAACAATCTTTCGGCATGCTTCAGGGTCTTCAATCGGCTGTCCTCCAACGAGGCAGCTCCATCAATTGAGATTATCTTTTGTAGGAGCCTGCGAAGAGGGAGTTCGGAGGGAAGGTTTAGTCCAACATCGCTGATGACTACATCGCTGATGACTCTTGGGTTTACAAAGGTGCTCCTCCTCCTCCTTCCCGTCCTTCCCCTCCTTCTCTTCCCTCCTCCTCCTCCTCCTCCTCCTCCTCTTCCTCCTCCTCCTCCTCCTCCTCCTCCTCCCCCTCCTCCTTCTCCTCCTTCTGCCCCCCCTCTCCTCGCTCCTCCTCCTCCTCCTCCTCCTCCTCCTCCTCCCCTCCTCCTCCTCCTCCTCCTCCTCCTCCTCCTCCTCCTCCTCCTCTCCTCCTCCTCCTCCTCCTCTCCTCCCTCCTCCTCCCCCCCTCCTCCTCCCCCTCCTCCTCCTCTCCCCCCTCCACCTCCCCCTCCTCTTCCTCCTCCTCCTCCTCCTCCCCTCCTCCTCTCTCCTCCTCCTCCTCCTCCCTCCTCCTCCTCCTCCTCCTCCTCCTCCTCCTCCTCCTCCTCCTCCTCCTACTCCTCCCCCTCCTCCTCCTCCTTCTCCTCCTCGTCCTCCTCCTCCTCCTCCTCCTTGTCCCCATTGTTCGCCTCCCCGTCCTTCTCTTTCTCCTCCTCCATCTCCTCCCCCGTCCTCCTCCTGCTCCTCCTCCTCCTGTTCCTCCTCCACCCGGGAGGGGGCCGCGGCAGGGCGCGACAAGTACTGCTTCTGAGCGCCCGGGGCTCTCCGCGGCGGGGCCCCACTCCTGGAGGAGAGGAGGCTCGGCCACCGGCGGCCCCGAGAGGAGAGAAAGAAGCGCGTCCGAGTTGTGGAGAGCATGATACGCATGGAATGAAGCCAATGGTAAGAGGAACGATGAGGCCAGGATGCCTCCTTTGATCTTGAGCCGGCTATGATGCCCACTCGTGCCCACCCCGTCCCGTCTTCAGACACTTCGCAGCCTCCCCCCTTATGATGGCAGGATGGGAGGACGGGCCGCCACCCCGGGCACGGCACGTACGACGCCAGGTGTACGACGTCGGGCACGGCACGTACGTCGCGCGCCCTCGGGAGTTCTCCGGCGCCTCCCTCGGGGCGCTTCCCCGGGGGCCCCGCAGGGGCGCTCTCCATCGGCCGCGCCTCGCCGCGAGCGCCCTGGGCATGGGCAGGGCGGCTGGCCCCCCCCGCGGCTCACGCTGCGGGCCGGCCTCCTCCTCCTCCTCCTCCTCCTCCTCCTCCTCCTCCTCCTCCTCCTCCTCCTCCTCCTCCTCCTCCTCTCTCCTCCCTCCTCCTCCCTACTCCCGTGCCCTGCCGCCGGAGCGGTGCAACCTATAGGCCTCCCGCGGGGGCGCCGGCGGGCCCGGCGCAGTGCTCCCCGGGGGGGCCTCGTGTGGCGGCGCGCGGCCCTGGCGCCACGGAGCACGGCGTGCAGCGGATGCCTATATGCTTCAGTCGGGCCTGTCCCTCTGCAGTTATGTCGGGCCTGTCCCCCCACTGGGGGATTTTCGACGAAAAATGGAAGATACCCTGGGGATTATTTGTTGGGTACTGTTAGACCTTTTTGGTGTAGGTTTGGGGTATTTTTGATTATTCGTCGAACCGAACATCCCTCTGTAGGGGAACACGCCCGACTTAAAATACCAAAAAAATAATGAAAAAATAGTCCCCAGACTATTTGTGGACTATGTTTTGAATATTTTTGGGGTATTTCTTATGTTTCGTCGAAAATCCCCCTGTAGGGGGACACGCCCGACATAAGCCTATATGCTTAAGTCGGGCCTGTCCCTCTACAGGGGGAGTATTCTCGGAGGTGGACAGACCTCCTACCCTGACACGTCGATTAAGGAACTTGCCGTTTTCGGTTCGCGAGGGGGCGGCGCGGCCGTCATGATTGCGGGTCCAGGTCCTTCGGTTTCGGCCATAGGTCGTTTTCACTAAGGGGAGGTTTAACTACTTAAGGGAGGTTTGTCCACCGCCGATATTCAAAGATAGTCAAAAATTGTCTGGGGACTATTTTTTGAGTTTTCGTGTGGCCATTTTGGAGTATGTTTTGAGTTTGTTTTTCTTTTTTCGTCGAAAGCCCCCCTGTGGGGGGACAGGCCCGACCTAATGCCTATGCCAAGGAGCACCCTGCTCGCCTCCAGGGTGCCCTGGGTGTCATGGGTCTCGATGGTTTGGGTTGTGGGGGGCGTGGCGTTCGCAACCCAAAAGCCCATGGGACCTCCTGGGGTCTCAGAGGGCTGGGTTTTTGGTGGAAGGTTTCTGGCGGACGTGGCCTCCACGGCAGGCACGACTCCCCCCGAGGTCCGCGCGGATGTCCTGGCTCTCAGCGCTGGGCCCACCTCCCGGGAGGGAGCGGCGCGCCCTCCCTCCTGCGATATAGGGCGGCACGGGCAGACGTGGCAGTGCTCCCCTGCCGCCTCTGGTCGGGGAAGCGCAGGATTCGAGCTCGCCATTCGCCGGGGGTGTGCAGCTGGCGCACGCTTCTTGACGGGCCTGGCCTGCATGTTGACGGTCAAGTTTTCGTGGGGTGTCTGCAGCGGGAGGTCGCGTCGAGTTGCATGATGCGTCTGGGTTGAAGTCGGGCCCGCCCCTCTACAGGAGGAAGATTCACACATAGTAAAAAAGTCGTGGGACGATTTTTTTATATCATTTTGGGGGTACGGTTGAACATTTTTAGGGTATTTTTTTTCGCCCAAAATCCGCCTGTACGGGGACATGCCCGACCTAAGTCTGGGTCCTGGATCAGTCTTGAGCCCTCTGGCGGCGCCTCCGGCGCCGCCTCTTGCTCGCTCCGCGCGGCAGGGAGGGGGTCCACCGCCGATCCAAGAAATCCGCGCGGACCTCCGAGAAATTCCCCAAGCAGTCTTTGCACTGAAGGGGTCCTAGCGGAAATTGAAATATTTTTGGCGAAAGTGTCCCGCCGATTTGGGTGGCCAGCTGGGGTCCCGGGTTCCCGGTTCCGGCTTCCCGGGTTCCTGGTTGTTGGTTCCAGGCCGATTTCGGTGGGTTCCGGGTTCCCGGGTTCCCGGTCGATCTCTTTATCGATCAAACCATCCATGGATTGGGGCTTCTCTCTGGTGTAATGATGTTTCTGGAATGGTTTGTTCGTCGAGTGGCGTGAGGGGGCTGGGGGGGCTTCTTAGAAGGCGGGGGCCTCAGGCGGGCCTGGAGGCTTCCAAGGAGGCTTCTCAGAGGCCAGGGAGGCCTCCAAGACAAGAAGCAAGGCATCCTGCATTCTTAGAATGCCCCCCGCCTTCATAGAAGGCCGGCCCCCACTCGCGCCCCCCCGTTGGGCGCGCCGCCCTCTCCTCGAGTCGTGGCAAGAATCACCGCGGCAGTTCGTGCTGCCACTTTCGGCCCGCGGGGGCCGGTGCCCTTCTGGCCAGCAGAGGGCGACCCGGAGGAAAGAGCCGCTCCCGCTCCCCGGGGAGGGTTCTGGACCGCGTTGTGCGAGAAGGATGATGTCGGATGCGTGGGTTTGACAGAGGCGCTCACGGATTAGTCTGAAGTCGGGCATGTCCCTCTACAGGAGGAATGTTCAAACATGGTCATAGAAAAACAGTCTGGGGACGATTATTGGAGTGTGTTTGACAACTGTTGCCCATTGTTGGTGTATTCTTTATATTCATCCTCCAACGTCTGCCTGTAGGAGGACATGCCCAACTTAAAAGATTAGTGGGCGCATTGGGGCCCTTCTGTCTGGACCTCCGGGGGCCTCCAGGGACCCCTGGAGGCCCCCGAGAGAACTTCTGGGAGCCAGGGAAGCTCCTGGGCGCCGAGTGTGCCACAGGGCGCTGCGCAGGGTCTGCGTTTCGTGGGGGGGGGGGGCGCCGCTGCGAAGAGCGAGCGCCGACCGCATGCTTTCTGTGCACACTCTGGCGCGGGGGCGGGGGGGCCTGAGTCCAGATCCGCCGTACTTTGTCGGAAACTGGAAGATTTATACATTGCCAGTGGCGGGCTTCTTTCCAATCCCCGGATTTTTTTGAGGGTCGGAGACGACGTCGTGGTGGTGTGGTGCACACTTGTTTGATCTGTGTTGCCGGGAAACAGCGAAACATGTATACGCCAGGGTCCCGTATACACTAGGATCCGCTTTCTTGTGAAAAATTCATTGCAGGGCCAGAAAAAGAAAACGTCGGTGTATAGAGTTCGGTTCCCCACTTTGGTTGGTTTGACATTGTATCGGAAATGCACCTCAACCGGTGTGGACAAGTGTGGCCGAAATTTCCGCCTCGGACGAGAAGGGCGGAAATTTCCGCGAAGGCGTGGCGAAAGCAGCGGCGGCAAAGTAGGGGGGAAATTTGACATCAAAGGAGCCTGAAATGTAGGGCGGACATGTCCGCCCTGCATGCGAAATCTCCCACCAAAGTATGGCGGAGCTAGCCGGAGTCCCCGACCCCCCCGGGGGGCCCGGGGGGAAGGTAGGGGGTTGGTGGTCGGAGCCTCCCCCCCGGCGCAAAACGGAGGGATATGTTGGACCCCCTCCCCCTTCCAGGAGGGACGCTCTTTCGACGCTCCCTGCTCCCGGCCCCCCACCCCCGTTCGCGCGCACCCCGCCGCGCGCCCGCGGCTCGTCGACGCCTCCAGCTCGCAGGGATCTCGGTCCGCGGTCGGCTGCCGGGCCGCCCTCCTTGGCAAGCGGTCCGCGGGCGCCGGGCCCCTGTGCGGGCGCCATGGGGCCGGAGAGGAAGACCAGAGGCACGCGCCCCTCGCCGAGACCTCTCGGCGCGTGCGCTTACTAACTAATTTAGAGTATGGCATGTCACTCTACAGGAGGTGTATCCAAGAACGTTTGAAAGATAGTGGCGGGCGATCTCTCTTACTATGTTTGGCAATGTTTGAATATCGTTTGGCTATCTTTTATTTTTCTGCCAAAATTCGCCTTTAGGAGGACATGCCCGACCTAACAGTAAGAGGCCAAGTCGACCTACCTCGGGAAGACTATATCTGGAGCTGTGCCAAACTCCGCTTTGACCTAGCCACAAGCGTCTATGGACACATTGGGTGTCGTGACATAGATGGGCACGTTCAGGGTGGATACGCCAGTAGACAGCGTGGCTGTTGCTCTCGACGCAGTACAGGTCGGACAAAGGGCAGATCCGTCTATGGTATGTTCGTGTTCTAGGTCCCGCATGGCACTCCGAAACCTCAGAGCTCCAGCTTCTTGCAGGAATCAAGACGCAGGCCTGGCGCTGGTGTGGGCCTCCGGTGTGGGCTGTAGGAGAACGGCCCTAGATGGGAGCCCAGGGATATCGAACAAATCAAGGCGTCAGATGCACGGGGATCCCTACAGGATATTCATATTTCAGATTTCCCTCCTGTTCCGCATGGGTGGGCAAAGGCATGGCCCTTATCCTGCCACCTTGGAAGCCGGCCCGAGTTTCTGTTGCGCTCCGGATCTGTCTCAGGGATTTGCTTCGGCCGCTGTCGGCGATGATCGTGCTCTCGGGTTGGACTTCGTCCCGATCTGACACTCACGTGTGACATTGACTGCGTTCGCGAGCTAGGGCAGAAGACGGCACTGGCGCGACAGTTTTCTTCGGCCAGCTATTCTCTCTGAGTGGTCAGGAACAGTGCTCAGGCCGACCGAAAGGGTAGAAGAAGCCGCCAACGCCCGACCCTCTACAGGAGGACTATTCAAAAGTAGTCAAACATAGTCTGGGGACGCTGTTTTGACAATTTTTGTTAATTTTGGGGGTTATTTTTTGAGTATTTCTTATTCATGATGTTTTGACTATTTTTGTAAATTGTTGGGGGTTACTTTTTTGAGTATTTCTGACTCTTCGCCCAAAATCCCCCGATAACTAGGGGACGCGCCCGACTTCATCCTAGATGGGGTCAGAGTAGATGGGGTCGGAGGATCGCACCGCATATCGCCGATGCGTCGCCGATGCGGCTCGATGCGGGGCCCGATGTTCTCCACGCCGACGTCGCCGGTGCATCGCCGACGTCGACGATGCTTCGCCAGTGCATCACCGATACATCGGCGTATCGGAGATGCGGCGCGATCCTCCGACCCCATCTACTCCGACCCCATCCAGGAGGCCTCTATCAAGGGAGGAAAAACCACCCAGATCGGACAATTGGCGTTTACTAACGGCCTCGGGCGTTGATTAAACAGCTCTGCCCTGTTCGATTCCCTCAGTGGGGGCGTTTAGTAAACGGCTTCGCGTGTCGGGGTTGCTCTTATGGGGGTGGATGTTTTGCCCTCTACGGGCGTCCCAAGCCGGTGCGATGACCGCGCCGTCGGGTGAGCCGGTGGGGATCTAGGGCGGTCGCGCAGTATGGAGGGCGTGGGCGGTGCTCTGGGCACGCCCCGAGTGGCATGGGGCCTTCAGAGTCCCAGCGCGCCCGTGCGGTGGCGGTGCGTTCGGTGGAGTGGTTTTGGTCGGAAGGTGGAGCCTATACATTGCCAGTGGCGGGCCGTTTTTCAATCCCAGAACTTGTTGAGGGTCGGGGACGACGTCGGGTTGGTGTAGTGTATACTTGTTTCCCCGTTTTCCCAGGAAACATCTGAAGATGTGTACACCAGGGTCCAGTATACACCAGGCTCCGCTTTCTTGCGCAGAGGTCCGCGCATGTCCGCGTCGGTGTACAGAGTGCGGTGCCCTATCTGGGTTTCCACATCATCGCGCGGTTGGTCGCATCTCCTGATCAGGGGGGACCGTCAAATGCTGACACCCGCTGTGAGTTCGAGCGTCCCAGGGTCGCGCGGAAGACGGCCGAAGACCGCCGATCACAACCAAAAGCGCGGCGGACTTCCGCCGTGGCACCGCCGAGTGCCTCCGAGAGACGGCGGGTGAGTAACAAGCAGGTCGTAGTCAAACATCGGAAATTGGAACGTATACATTGCCAGTGGCGGACTGTTTTTCAATCCCAGGATTTTTTTGGGGTCGGGGACGACGTCGGGGTGGTGTGGTGTATATGTTTTTCCCCGTTGCCCCGTGGAAACAACAAAATATGTATACACCAGGATGCAATTTACACCAGAATCCGTTTTCTTGTGCGGATCTCAGGGCGGGACCGGAAAAAAACATCGGTGTATAAAGTTCGGTTCCTTAACAAACGCAGCCCAGATTTGGCACGCCTGTCCGCACATCGTTCGCTACAAGGCGTCCTGGGACATCCTCGGGGCGGCGTGTCGCGAGGCTCTTGGACGGCCGCGGCCAGCCGGTTGACGTATCGGGAGGGCCGGCCCGTCCTTTTCTCTCCTCTTCCTCCACCCTCCTCCTCCTCCTCCTTCTCCCTCCCCCTCCTCCTCCTCCTCTCCTCCTCCTTCTCCTCCTCCTCCTCCTCCTCCTCCTCCCTCCTCCTCCCCCTCCCTCCTCCTCCTCCTCCTCCTCCTCCTTCTCCTCCTCCATCTCCTCCTTCCCCTCCCCCTCCTCCTTCCTCCTCCATTCCTTCTCCTTGTGAAGAACTCCTCCCTGTCGCACCCCGGAGCCAGTTGTTAGGGCGGACCGAGCGTTTCGCCTGAGACTTCCGCATCATCCATGACTCTGAAGCTTAAAGAATGGCAACAGTTTCGCGGACTGTGGGCGGGTGGTTTTCAACATGTGTCTCTCGCCTTAGCGCCGCATGCATTCGTGTTAGAAGTTTGCAAGAGCTTTACGGATTGAGGGCGGGTGGTTTTCAAAATGTGGTTCCTGCCTTGGCGCCCTGCACATGCGTTTTAAACAAATTGCAAGAGCTTCACGGATTCAGGGCGGGTGGTTTTCAAAATGTGGTTCTCGCCTTAGCGACGCGCACATGCGTTTTAAACATTTGCAAGCACTTCACGGATTGAGGGCGGGTGGTTTTCAAAGTGTGGTTCCCGCTTTAGCGCCGCGCACATTTGTTTAAACAGATTGCATGAGCTTCACGGATTGAGGGCGGGTTGTTTTCAAAATGTGGTTCTCGCTTTAGTGCCGCGCACATTCTTTTCAACAAATTGCAAGAGCTTCACGTATTGAGGGCGGGTGGTTTTCAAATGTGGTTCTCGCTTTAGCGCCGCGCAAATTCGTGTTAAAATGTTGCAAGAGTTTCACGGTTTCCCATGGTCAACGTGCCAGAAATGGCTTTCTGGAAGGATTCAGGATTGTGCGGGTGCAACAGTTATGTTGATGCGCGGTGTTGATGTCCCAACAATGGCGTTCTGGCACGTTTCCAGATCGTCAGGACGCAGCAGCCAGGTTGATCCATGGCGTGGCAATCCCGAGAACAATATTTTGGCATGCTTCAAGGTCTTCAAACGGTTGTCTCCCAACGGGGCAGTTCCCTCAATGGACATGAACCGTTGTATGGGGCCGATGAAGAGGGAGTTTGGAGGGAGGGTTAATTCCAACATCGTTGATGACCCTTGGGTTTACACTGATCCTCCTCCTCCTCCTCCTCCTCCTCCTCCTCCTCCTCGGGCCGCCTGCGGCCCCGGGGGAGACCGTGCAGATGTATCTCGTCTCGATGGGGGCAGGGGGGCATACATCTAGTCGGTGTCGTTTAACCGATCCCCATCCTCATCCCCATCCCCATCCCCTTCGAGACCCCCACCGAATTACCACCCCAGCTGGGGATACACCCCTCGAAACCCGAAGGGAGCGACCTGTATCCCCATCGAGGGGGGTAAATCGGCCAGTGGGGCCCAGGCCACGCCGCTGGTGATGGGGATCGGTTGAACGATACTCATTTAGAGGAGAAAGACGAACCGACAGCGATGGCCCCGCTTCCGCGTCGCCCTGCTGGCATTTCCTGGGGGGGGAGGCCTGGTGGCACCACGACCGGAGTCGATCTGGGGGTTCCTCGGCGGGGCACGCCCAGGGGAAAGCCTGGGGCATTGTGGCGTCGGTGCTCTCCACTCCCGGTGTTGTCCCACGCCTTTGCACTCGGGAGCCTTGAGCCGGGTGTCAACGCACACGGGGGTCAGCCAGAGCGCCCGATCTTGCAGGATTCTGCAGGGCCAGGGTCGCATTGACCCAGGCTTGGGTGCAGGATCCTGACGGATCTTGCAGGATCTTTCGCATTGACTTGGGTTTGGGTGCAGGATTTTGCAGGCTCTTGCAGGATTCTGCAAGGGCTGACTGACCCGGGTCTGGATTGACCTGGGTCAGAAGATCCCCTATGCACAAAGGATCCGGGAGCTGCGCGCCACTGTATCGGAAACCAGTTTCCATGGCCATGTTTGTTATGCGAACCATTGATTGCAAGTCTTCAGGGCCATTCGGTCCCCGTAGCTCGCGCGGCCCAAGTGCCCAGTCTCTGCGCCACGAGCCGCGCTGGCGGGCGGTGTTAAGATGCCCAAGCTTGCAAACGTGGACCCTGCGTTCGTTCTCAGCACGAATGTCGAAAGCCTGCCCGCGCGCTGCTCGTCATATCCGTCATTGAAGCCGGGGCAGGTTGCGTATTTGCCAGTGTGGTCGCACGATGGCACGGACCGGGATCGTCACGAAAGCGCGGCGTTCCAAGCCGCCGTGAGAGACATGGCCGTCACGATGGCGATGGTGAAGGGTTCCGTTCGTATGGAAAAAAGGCCAAATGAAGAGATGAGGGCCATGGCAATCATCAAGAATTTGCCCAGCAGGTGCAAGGAGACGGAAGTACTCGACGTCATTTCGCATCTGGGCTTTGTCTCCGACATCGCCGCGTTCAAAATGCCGATCCGCCTTGGGAAGGGAATGAGAACCTTGAACAGAGGTTACGCTTTCGTGTACTTTTCCGACGAGTGGGTCTGCCAGCAGTTCGTGGAGGCCGCGACAGGCCATCGCGGCTTCGGAGGGCGTTCCACCGGCAGGGCCATCTCTGTGTTTTGCTCCTTGCATCTAGGCGGCAGCCCTTGCGGTGCGTCACCGGCAGGGCCGCCACAGGAGCCGGAGAACGAGCTGGCAGAGAGCTCTTGCCAGTCTTCTTGACGGAGGCCATTCGGCAAGGGGCACATTTTGGTTTGCGCTGCGCCCAGGCGCGGAATCTGCAGCCCGCAGGTTGGCTCGAGATCCGCCTGCAGTTCTCAGCAGGAGCCAAGGATCTCGGAAGCGAGCACTGTTTTTTTTTTCTTACGGCTTTCGTTTTTCAGTCCGTGGCGGGTGCAGGCATGCAAATTTGTTCATTAGCACCACATTGTCATTCTACATAATATGGTTCATAATCTTCCCCCACTTAGGCTTGCCTCAGGGGTTCTTACTTTGCCAAAGGTTGGTGCTTCCGGTTCCCCGGGTGCCTCGGGTACCCCGCCCCCAGGTGCTTCCGATCGTTACGTTTCCAGTTCCTCGGCGGTTCCTCGGATACCCAGGGTTCCTCGGGTTTCCTCGCCCCAGGTCGCCCGCTGTTTCTTTACAAGGGCCTTGGGTTCCCTGGTCTGGTTGCTCGGTTATGTTTCCGGACAGGGTGTTTGAGTTCGTCGGGTTCCCCGAATTTGTTTCTTGTTCGAGTTCCTCGGATCTCCCGAACTTGGTCCTTGCTCGGATTTCTCGGGTCTTCTGGTCGGGTTTAGTGTTCGGGCTCCTCAGGTTGCCTGGTCTCGTTCTTTGACCGTGTTCCCCGGTTTCCCTGGTCTCGTTTTTTGCTCGGGTTCCTCGGGTTCCCCGGTCTTGTTCCTCGGTCTCCCCGTTGTTGGAAAGCAGTGCCAAGCATTGCGCCCATACAGCGGAAAGTATTCTGCTGATTGGGGTCGTGCCGGGCTCGTTTGTATCTGAAAGACCATTCATTCACGCCATAACCATTCATATACACCATCACTCGCTGGACCGTCTTCCCACGTGGTTGGACGCTTCATTTGCACGGCGTTTGAAGTAGCTCATTGGCTGCACGCTTGCCTCGCCGAGTGTGTCATCGTGCTGATGTGTCCGCTCCCCCCCTCCTCTCAAATAGTGCCTGGGACAAAAACTTGCATAATGCAACATGTCTCCAGTAGTTGCCAGATGAGCCGTGATCGGCAAATGCGTTTCAGTAGGTTTGTGTGTATATATATATATATATACATCTATGTGTGTATATATACACCTATATATATATATATATAGATGTTGCCTGTGGTTTCGCATGTCCGTTCCGCGTGCTCGCACGTGTTGTTCTCCACCCGAGAGTTTCGGGCTGCTGTGTTTGAAGATTGGAGCTCCCAACCTGCCCACCCTGCGCACCGCGGCCGCCAGATCCCCAGATCCACCCGGAATCCCGAGCGTCCCGCCCCCCACGTCGACTTTGCCACCATGTATGCCGCCCACCCTGCGTACCGCGGCCGCCAGAGCCTTGGGTCCACGCAGTGTCCCGGGTCATCCCGCCCCCCTGCCTCGCCGTTTCATCACTGGTGCCCACCCTGCATACCGCGGCCAGCAGATCCCCACTGCCAGCCAGCGTCCTGAGTGACCTGCCCCCGCCTCGCTCTTGATTATAGTTGCACTCCCACCACGAGTGCCAGTAGAATTGCTACCGGTACTACTGTGACACACAGAAGAGGTCGTGAAGGAATGTAATGCAGTTCAGGAGAATTTAACAAAACATGACAAGCTCACTAAACCTCTGTATACAAGAATGTTACAGATGAAGGTAACACAGCACATAGCGAGTACATCATACGATCGCATAACAGTAGATGTAGAATTGCAGCGGGAAGAGCATGGTGCACTATCACAGAACATACTCCAACAACCATCTAGAGTAGAACACACCAGGTGTGAACAAACGCGCACACGTGATTCTATAGTATTTCACGACAGCACAACTAATAATGGGGCACCGTCGACGAGAGCATAACAGAGCGGCCCACACCATTACGAACGAGAAGTTGGCACGATCTGGCATAACATCGCATATCATATTCACAGCATGCCATTGCTAGTTGTTAGGAGCAGTGCTCACGACCCGCCTCGCCCACCCGGCTTGCCGCGGCCGCCATCTCCCAAGAACCATGGATGGTGTCTGAGTGGTGCGGCCCGCACCTTCAATGAAATGCACGGCGTCGCGCCGTCGCGCCGTCCAGGCATCACGACACGTCGTTACCATCAGAAAGTTTGTTACACAACGGGCCATGCTTATATATTCGTCCGTAGTGTGATACACCGTTTCAGTGTTGAAGACAAGTTAACATAGCATAACATGATGTAGTAGAGAAAAGATAATCAAACCGAACATGTAATGGAGTAGGCTTGAACAGACGATGTCACGTTAAAAGATAGGGGACCAGGACAGAGCATAACAAGCATACCATAGAGTGCTATAGCAGGGCAGGACATGCCATATCACAACAGCATCTACCTTACGTTACCAGGATGGAAGGTGTATAAACGTACTCGCCAATTACATACAATCATACTTTATAATCATCACATGCCAAGACATGACATAACACACTGTGGCGCAACGCAATACCATAGAACAGTTTGAAAATTAACGTACCAGATGGACCAGCATGAGACAACAGAGCATTACATGGTATCATATCGTACTTGGTGGACAAAGGATCCATGTTGCGGATCGCCCGGTAAAGTAGGACATACGATGATATATTATAAGGGCATCGGCGAGCATGTCCCTATACCAGAAGTATGTAAAAGTATTAAAAAGAAAGGGCAAGCCATGCATTACCACATGGATTATGCGGAATGTTGCACAACAACACCTTCCATAATCTATAGCAATAGGACAAGACAGAATATAGCATACATAATACAGCATATTGATATAGTGGCGTATACCAGAGTGGGTACATTCGGGCACAGCTTATCCCGCCCCCATGTGATCGGTTCGTTTTCTCTGCCGTATTCTTGCACGCATGCTTATAGTACGCGCGCGCATCGACGTGGGCAAACGACGAATGTTTCGGTGTGGATCGTTAGAAGCCAAGTCGTTTCTGTTGGCTATATGGTTTTGCAAGCATTGTAGCATACAGTGCCTGTGTGTGTATTGTGCGCATCCCATGGCTCCGCGAATACAGTTCCTAGATGTGGGACCAGTGCGTTGCTGTCGTGTTCGCTTGAGTTTGGGTTGGCCCGCAAAGCGTCCGCAGCCCCGACAGCTCACGAGGGCGCGTCGGGGCAGCTCACGCCGGCGGACGACCCTTGGAACTCCGTCGAGCTCCACGAAGCTGAGATCAGCTGCGGAGCAACTTGTTGAAGCGGGCTCGGAAGCTCCGGGCCGCGGCGCGGAGGTGCCTGAGCCCGCTTAGCTCGTCGTTCGCCCCGGGCCCTGCCCGCCACGGGGGGGGACGGCCGCTCGGCCTCCCCGAGCTGCGGGAGCCCCTGGGGCCAGTCCCGCAGCGGAGGCCGCCGCGCTGCGATCGTCTGGCTCGGCGTGCGCTTGTGCGTGCGCGCGGCCCCGGCCCAGTCGACTGCACGACGCTGGCGGCGGTGCTGCCGCATCTGCGGGGTCGTGACGTTCGCGGTCGCTCGGGCCAGCCTGGCCTGAGGTCTGCGCCTGCTGGAGCCCGCGCTCCCCGAAGCTTGGTGCTGCCAAGAGGTTTTTTTGACTCTGGGCCGAGAGCATCGCCTCGGACAGGGCGTCCCTCAGAAGTGGAGTCCCACCCTGAACCCCGCAAGGTCTTGCCAATGCCTGGGAGCCCCAATGCTGCCACCGATCGAGGCCATGCCATCGCGGCACTCTGAGCCAGCATGTAATGCTTGCGCCTGTCAGGACCACAGTGCTTGTTCAGGATGGCCCGCGGGGGAGACTGCCACTGCAGAACTGGCGCGATCGCGCCCCAATCTCATTGCCTCCGCCGCGTCCTTTCGCAATCGCGGTGCTCGCGCACACCCGGTTCTTGTGCAAGAGGTGTGTGCGCCGTTCTGCCGACCCCCTGGAGGAGGAAATTACGAAAGGCATCAGCAAGTGTGACCTCGGAGTCGGATCCAGGAAGTGGCAGGGGGGACGGGCATCAGACCATGAAAGACGGTAACAAGGACAAGGCGTAGGAGGAGGAGGAGGAGGAGGAGGAGGAGGAGGAGGAGGAGGGAGGATTGCCAACAGGTGGAGCAGCAGGGGCGTGAAGGTGGTGAGAGCATGGGCCCAGATGTGAGCAGTACCGCGCGGAAGAGGAGAAGAGGCAGCCGAGGGAAGCGAGGGGCGGACGCAGGAGCCCCTAGCGAAATGTTCACTGCAAAGCCACGTTACCAAGACAAAAGGTATCAATTGGTGAGCGCACAAAACGGGCTCACGGCGGGCCCATCAGAGGAGACGCGCACGTGCATCTCCCAATCAGTGAGAGTTCGGGAGTGTTCCAGTGTGTGCGTGTGGCCGAACGGTTGGGCTCGTCCTTGGGACACTCTGGGGCCGCTCTGGGAGAATTTTTTGATGGGCTTGGGGCCGCGTGGGGGAATCTTAGTGCCGTGTTGTGGCGGTTTTGGGGGCACCTGCGAGGCCAATGAGGAGTTTGCGTGGCAATTCGGGGGCAATCTTGTAATGGTCTCCGGCTAGTGCCGCCGATCCGGGGGGCTCCGGATTCGGTGATCTTCGCGGCTCTGTGGCCTCCTCCCTCCTCGATTCTTTTAGTCCTCTTTTTTCTCATCTGGGGTGGTGCCTGGAGCGATCCCGGGGGGTTTGGGGAGGGTTCCGGGGGGAGGGTCCTGGGGGCGGTAGCGGCTAGATCTGAGGGGGTCCGTGGGACCCCCCGAAACATGGGGATGCGGGGGGGTCCAGATGCGCAAGTCATAAAGAAAACGCCAGATGGAGGACCCTCCCCCCTCCCCCTCTTCCCCGGCAGAGCCACCCTGGCGACCCCCCCCCAAACAGAGTTGAAGCTCAGAGCCGAAACTCTTGCTGAGGTTCCTTGTAGCTCACACGCCGGATCGGCGGATTTCAGTATGCTGGGCCAGTTTGGAATCTCTTTCAGGCCGCTTGGGCCCGATCGAGGACCTATGCAGCCCATCTTCGGGTCATCTTGGGACGCCAGTGAATACGCCGAACAAGCGAACACCATAGTAATTGTGGCGATTTTGAACCAGCAAGCAGCAAACATCTTGGAACTCTTTGGATGCTTCCTCGTGTTTTCCTTTAACCAACTTTGGCAATCCCAGGATCTTGAGGGAGCGATTTTTGAGCGAGGAGGCTTACTTCCGAAGGCCTCGGGGGCCCACGGGGCAATTTCGGAGGTTTGCTGCTGGGGTCTGGCAGGTGCGTGGACGAGTTCCCAGGCCGCCCCCGCCCCCCCTTCAGCCAGGACGATAGAAGGGAGAGGAGGGGGAGGAGGAGGGGGAGGAGGAGGAGGAGGAGGAGGAGGAGGAGGAGGAGGAGAGGAGGAGGAAAGGAGGAGGAGGAGGAGGAGGAGGAGGTGGTGGGGGCATAGGTTCGTGGCGGGAGAGGGACAGACGCCTTTTCACCCTTGGCACACTTTCTTATGGTCTTTGCGAAGGCCCCACCCGGCCCGCGCCGCCGACCCCAACGGCGGAACTTCCCCCAGGGACCCATGCCCCCCCCCCCCCCGGGACCTCGGGGCAGGGGCCACGGCCGGCGCCGCCACGCCCACGGCCGGGGTCGGGGCCGAGTCCACGACCACCTGGGCCAGAGCCGGGACCAGGCCTCCCGCCCCCCCCCCCCCCCAAGGGGGAACCCCTTTTCTGCCACCTGTGTCCACAGGCGGTGGGGCCACCGCCCGGGACCCGCCGGGATGCCCTGGGGGCGGGGACAATCTGACCCAGGATCCCGCCCCCCGATCCCCCCGCTCTCCCCCCCCCCGGTCCCCCCCATTCAGGACGCCCGAGATGGGCACGGAAAGAACGGGTACGATGTCCAACAGCAGTTTCTGTTCATTTTGAACAGAACTCGCTGTCCGCGCCGCCGCGGCCTGTGTCCATTCGAGACAGAAGGCCGCCTGCCCAACAGCGGCCGCTGTTGGTTTGGGACAACATTTGGTATTGGGCATTGTACCCATTTTTTCCGTATCCATGTCGGGCGTCCAAACTCATCGCTTGCGGGTCAGATTGCAACCAGAGCGGCCAGTTCACAACCAGATGGGGCACTTTACTTACAACCAGCATGGATTTTCCCAGAAGGGCATTTTACAACCACGAGGGTCATGTTACTTCCAGGCAAGCAAACGTACATAAGCGACACATGTTCTTCAATTTCCGAAATCTCCGTGGGCCAACTTAAGGGAGACACTTCGCTCTTTCAAGCGCGTTGGTTGTAAAATGACTCGTGCGAAGCGAGAATATGTGAAGTGGCGGAGTCCGAATGGGATCCAACGGGAAGCCCATTGGAATCTTGTTGGCACCTTTCCCACTGGGATCCTGTTGGCACCATGTGAAGCCCATTGGTATCCAGCAAGGTTCCTCGCTATGGGGCCTACGGGTGTCCTATTGGGATCCGATGGGGATGCTGCCCAATGAACCCCGAGTGGAAAGCGATCGGAACCCCCATTGGATTACAATCGAGGTGCCTTCCTATTGGAATGCTGCGGGAACGCGCAGGGGTACTACATGGTAAACCGGTGAGGATTCTTTTGGGGTTTTCCGTAGGAGCCGTTTCTCTTGCAATCCCATCGGAACAATATTGGCGAATGCGAAGGACATCGCATTGGAATCCAATCGGAAACATTTTTCGTTTCGATTCATGCGGGCATATTATTGGGATCCCTTCAGGACCCAAGTGTAACCTCGCAAGAACCTGTCCTCTTTGAATGAAGCTGTGCCCCGACTGGCGTCCTATTGTAAACCTTGTGGAACCAAAGTCAGATCCAATCGTTCCCGCTACTGGCTGGTGACAGGCCTGGGCGGTTGAAGCCTTTTTACCTCCATGCCGTAAATCGACATCGTTGTTTGAGGACTCGTAACTTCTGCCTGAAAATATTCGCCGCAAAAGACGCAGAGGAACACGCAAGGCCCCAGTAGAGCGGGAATGTTGCCAAGAAGTCGTTGCTAACACTCTATACTCGACATGCGGAACTCAGATTCTTGCACCGTAAACATTTTGTACCCTCGCGCCTCATCGTCCGGCAACGGCGCATCCGTATGTTTCCGCATGTGCGGAAGCATGCGCACCCAGTAAAGCGGAAATGTCGCCAATCAACCATCTGTACGGGCGTAGCCAATATGTGTGGAGTTCATATTGTTTTTTTGCATCATAAGCCATGTTCGTTTTCGCGGCAGCATGCGTGCCCAGGAGGGCAAACTTGTGGCCGAGAAATCGATGGTAGAGTTCCAGCCCATGCATGTGAGATTTACAGTGTTTTGGCCTCACAGACAGCTTGTGTCCTCGCTCCCCGTCGTCTGGCAATCGCGAAACCGCATGCGTTCGCATTCGCGGTTGCACGACGGCCCAGGAGGGCGAACATGTGGAACATAAATCGATGGTAACATTTTAGCCAGTACATGTGGATTTCAAAATGTGTTGGTTGTATCATAAACCATGCTTGTCCTCGCGCCTCCTCGTCTGGCAATCGCAAGATCCGTATGTTTCCGCAATTGCGGAAACATGCGCGCCCAGGATGGCGGACACGTGGCCAAGGCGTCGATGGTAACGTTCGAACCACTACGTGCGGATGTGGATTTATTGATGTTGGCTTCGCGGACAACTTGTGCCTTCGTGCCTCATCGTCTGCCAATAGCAACGCCGCGTGTGTTCGCATTCGCGGAAGCATGCGTACCCAAGAGTGCAGAATTGTTGCCAACAAGTCGTTTGTAAAATTCGAACCAACTCATGAGAATTTCAAATCGTTGGCTTCCGTTGCATCATAGGCCACGTTTGTTTTCGCGCCCCATCGTCTGGCAATAGCAAACCGTAAATTTGCGAAAATGCGGAATCATGCGTATTCCGAAGAGCGGAGATGTGCTCAAGAAGTCGCGGGTTAAATCCCATCTAGTATATTTGGATTTCGATGTGCACTGGTTGGTATCGCAAGCCGTTTTTGCTCTCGTGCCCAATCGTTTGGCAATAGCAATGCATCATGTGTTTGCCTTCGCGGAAGCATGCGTAAACAGGAGGGTGGACATGTGGTCAACACATCATTGGCACAATCCCCGCAAGAGGCTCTCAGGCGCTCAGGAGCCGCCGCTTGGAAGGTCAGGCCTTGACGAGCCTCTGCGCAACGCTCGGGCGCTCAGAAGCTTCTGCAGAACGCTCAGGCGCTCAGAAGCCATTGCACATCGCTGAGGCGCCCGGATGCCTTTGCAGAGCGCTCAGGCGATCAGAGGCATCTGCAAAGCGCCCAGGCGGTCAGAAGCATCAGCAGAGCGCTCCGGCGCCCAGAAGCTTTTGCAAAACGCCCAGGCGTTCACAATCCTCAGCAGAATCCTCTGGCGCTCAGCAGCTTCGGCAGAGGCGCCCAGGCGCTCTGATGCCTCTGCAAAGCGTCGGGCGCGCAGAAGCCTTTGCAGAGCGCTCAGGCGCCCAGCAGCTTCTGCAGAGCGCCCAGGCGCTCAGGAGCCTC